TACGGAAAATCAACACTGAAATTCCTTATATTGGGGACATTTTTTACATCTTACTTTACTTAAAAAGATCGGTTTGGCAGAGAACTGAGGGACATCAAAGTATTGTAGGATATAAACTCAGCATTCGAAATGTTAAGTTTTAAAACAGCTATTTGAAATATCTCTCGTAACATCCTAAAAATAATGAAAGCCTTCTGTTTCACATCAGAGAGCTCACTCGAGAAAAAATTAGGAAAAATAGCATTTGGCTTAGGATCAGCAGATGAAAAAGACATCAGTCAGTTAAATAAACTTCTTAATTAGAATATTAAGCAGTTTAATAAAGAGCATTTGGAACGCAAAATTCTCAATTTGGGCTCAAACGATGCCTCGTTTTGGGTTTATATAAATAATACTAAAAGAACGTGTAAATTCAGCAATCCCATTCATAGCGAAAATAATAGAGCACTTATTCAATAAGAGGAAATTCAAGGTATTTACTGATCACATACAGAAGCAATTTGTCCCCCAATAAATCTCAGATTTATGTGACCCGCATGCATGACCTGAAATTAGCCGGAGGATAGGTATTTATTAACAAAATTCCTACCTGAATTGTAGCTCAATTTCAAATTCTTAATATTTGCTGAAATCTACATAAACAATAATAATAACACAAAGGTAAAAATTCTACATTTCGTAATTCAAGCGTACTAGTAGCTAAATATTAATTTTTGCATTGTCATTTATTTCAAATAATTCTAAAATGTTAAATTAACCTCAAATAACTTGCTTTTAACATCAGCTTGAAAATACAACAAAATATGAAGGATTCTGAGCTCGTCCATCGATACATTTTACAGTATTAATTAACATTTCCACAATATTGGCCATCAAAACGTGTCCTGAAAATATTCATTTCACGGCATATTCTTTAATTTAACCGCTACTTCATATTTTTTTTTTTTTTTTTTCTTTACAAACATAGCTAGTTTTTTTGTTTGTTTTTTTTTCAGACATTTAAGTATTCTCAATATGAATCTGCAAGAAATGGATAATCTTATCTTTGACATGTATACGTCTGTTCGCTTTTAAAGTTAAATTGCAAATCCAATTTTTTTTATCCAAACTTAATTTACCGTAATTTCCGGAAGAAAGGCCATATCAGCGTAAACGCCGCACTCGAGAAAAATGGCGGGAAAAAAATTAAAATTACACAGAAACGTTGCATCAGCGTAAACGCCGCAATAGATTAAATTGCGCGTGACATCGTCGTGGGCCGTATAGATGTAACCTAAGTCCTGATATATGACATACCAGTTAAGAAAAATGCATGAAATGAAACCATAACTCAAAAATAAATTAAAGGTAAGAAATGTATAGCTTCCTTGCCGTTTAGAGACATTTTCACAAATTTTCCGCTCCCTAATTAAAAACTATTCAACAAGTACTTGTACCCTAACTGATGGGATCTGTATTTGGCAGAATGCCAAGAAAAATCCATTCATGCTGAAGAGGAAATACGTCAGAGTTCGTTATTGTGAGGCAGGTGGAGTCGTGTCCGCCTTTGAAAAAAATTGCAGAAAAGCATGGAGGTAGGAAGTAAGAAGGAGTCGCCCTAAACAAGTTTCTCCGTACCCTGCTCTGAAGCACCGGCGATCCCTACGTGGTGACCAAAACATTGGGTCATTTGCCATTGAGTTCTATGGGATTTGACGCGTTCGGGTGTAAATATTTTGTAATTACGTCGCAAATATACATATAAATGTATATATTTTCTTTTTCTACAACACTTCAGAGTCCTAAGTATGTGAAAACAACATATTTTTAAACAACATTTCATTCTGAACGGAATTAAATGCTATACTTTTCACAGGACAGTTTTCTCAGAATGGTTTAATTTGAATGAAATATTTTCACAAGTTTTCGTTAATTACATTAGAAAAAAAAAATTAAGGTAAGTTAATTCGATTTATTCGGTTAAGGTACAAAAATTAAGATCAAAGTTTATTGTATTATTAATATTAAAATTATGCATTATTTCTTTTCTATTTATAGAGAGAGCTTCTTCCTAAAATACTTTCTTAAATATGACATGATTTTTTGGCTTCTTTAAATCGAAAAATGTAAGTCAATTTATAATTAATGCTCTATTCGGTTCATTTTAAATTAGAGAATTATTAGGAAAATAGTATTTGACTTTCTCTGAACATTTCTGAAAGGGAATAAAATAAGGAATTTTTTAAAGTATTATTTAAAACTTGTAACTGAGTTATTATAAAATGTAAAGGGAATAATTCTTTTAATTATACTTATCAGATTTTTTTTTTTTTTTTTACCCTTCATTTCAACAATACATATTCCAAAACTCTTTATTACGTTCTTAAGTGCGCATCTCATAGCATTTGCTTTACAATACCTTTTAACAGATTGCTTTCCAATACGAACAATTCTTGCTTAAATAGTTTTATAACGTATTTGTCAACAGGATTTCAATTTATGTTTACAATTCAATATTAAGGTTATTATATATTTAGATAACATTTATAATCATTATAAATTAGATACATTTAATCATTAGATTTCTTCACAGTACTATCACAGTTGTTTATAAGTGAATAAATTCTTAATTTCAAATACATTTATAAATAATTTAATGAATATTTAAGTATTTTGTCAAAGGCAGATACATGCTTTTTGCAAGCACATGCATAAATACCCATACATATTTCCTATTTATCATTTCCGGCATGTGCAATTTCTGTGCATTCACTATATTTGTGTAAAGTAATTTACACTAATTTAGCATACACCCGAAAGTTTTACATAAAAAATATATATGAAAATAATTTGAATGAAAATTATAAGTATTATTTTTAATACCCACTCAAAGGTCAGTTTTTCTTCAAAATTCCCCCACGATGGCATCTCTCTCTTTAGGCAGATAGCCCTTGCATGCGTTACTCTATTTAATAAAAACTTAATCTGACCTATGTGCCTAATTACAAATATTTTAACATACATAATTTTATATTTACATTTAGCCATCAAGTTTCAAACTTTTCAAATCTTCTAGAAAATAAATTTTGGCAGATCTCTTTTAGCAATTTTCTTAAAATCTATATTTTTGTAGTGCAACAGCTTAGAATTTTATAAAACAAATTCATAATCAAAATCGCTGTTGTTAGTTATCGAAAAATAACCAAGATGTGATTTTTGCGTAAATGTCACTAAACTATACAAATTGCTATTATCCATCACACTATGAATGTTTCTTTCATGCGAGAGTGTCCCTTTTTCGATTTATATGGAACTGTCGTGTGTCGAAATACTATCAGAATCTTGTCAACCGAGCTTCTGAATGTAAACAAAAAACACCCCGTCTGGTGACCCAAGCTTCAAAGCAGTGCTTCACTTCTAGCGCGGAATGGCCCCTCCTCCCTTTCCTACCTCCATGCAGAAAAAGGCAGGGGTGGAAAGAGGATGGGTCCTGGAAGATTCATCGAATGGCAGAGGAGAGAGACTATTCAAACGGATGAGAATGTTGATTTGAAAGGGGGAAGAATGTTATTGTTCTGAGATCTCGTTTAGGGTGAATAAGGCATGTAGGTCCGTTCAAGGGAAAGAACGCAAACAAAATAACGTTCGCAAAAAGCAACTGAGTGGTCTTTTGTGTGGGAACAGCACCAATCTATGCACAATGACAAGGCCATCCAAACTATGTACAATGACCATCATAGGAAATATTTTATTTTTAGTGCACCTAAACGCCGCATGGGTAGAAACGCCGCACCCGCTGAAAATTTAAGTTTTAAACACGTAAACGCCGCGGCGTTTCTTCCGGAAATTACGGTATATTTATCAATAATAATTCTTTTTTTAGAAAAGAAATTCTGCTAAACAGCTTTCTCTTTAACGGGAACTATTTCCAGTAATTCCTTATCTACTTCAAATTCGTCAATGGCATTCGTAAGAAAATGGTAAGCTGTGCTATATCTGTTTTTATATCAGTTCTCTTATCAACTGCTGTCGAGAGTACTTCAAAAGTACCAATTTCACGTTTATTTGGGTTTGATTTATTTAATTATCGCAAAGCATCGAGAGCTATCTGCCTAATGGAAGGACTTGTGGAGGACTTTCTAAGGAAACTGGTTCGTATACACGTTACACATGGGGAAAACGCCCATGCAGCCAGCCCGTTCTCGGGATTCGAACCTCGGACCGAATACCAGTGCTCAGCGACTTTACCGCTCGGCCGCTGGTGGGCCACACGTTTATTTGGGAATAATGGCCGCCTTCTGTCACTTTTCTTTTACGAATTTTTCAAGACTTGCACTTTATCTCTTAATTAAAATCACAATTATTACTTTAATTGTTATTTTTTATTCAACGAGATAAATTTTCTCAAATTTAACAATCAAAGGTTTTACAGAATTTCAAATGACTAGTATTTATGTAACGTAGATCTTACGAAGAGCTCAAATAGCAGGTTATACGAACTGCACGTTAATTTCTCTCTATCTGTTTAGCAACATGAATACTATACTATAGCTGCATATCCAGCTTAATAACTAGTGATTGGCGCAAGGAACAGAAAAAAAATTATAAAATTCAAATAATAAATTAGTGACAAATTAAATAATAATAACTTTTATCCCAACGCATTAGTTGAAAAAATGGACACGACCAAAATATACCGACTTTCCACCCTAAGCTCAGGCTGCCATATAAAGGTTTATATAATTTTTTCATTTATCTTAAATCGTAAATCTATTCATTCTCTTTCTTTTGCATTCAACAGCAAACACAATATCCCTCTAGTGCCGCCCAGACGGTGCCGTACGGATGGTTAGGAGATCCAACTGTGATACCGAAGGGCCCGGGTTCGAATACCGGAGAAGGCTTGGATGTATGTAAATGTACAATGTGCGTGCGGCATCGGGGCACTCTAAATATGCAGCATGCCGAAAGTTCTCTTGAGAGGTTAATGGTACGAGAAGAGGAGTGGGAGCGCCACTTACCCTTCTTCCTGGAGTAGTCACCATCAAGGGGCGGAGCTGAGTTCAAAGCTCTTGCCAACGACAGGCGCAACCTTGCACTCCTTGCTACGATAACTTTCGTGGGCTTGTCCTGATGTCACTATCAGATAAGAGATATAAGTCACAACACAGCAACAAAATATGTTTCTAATACTGTTTATAATTATATTTCAAATTTTGATTTCCTGAGTTAGATGGTTAATGTTCTTTTTTATCTTTATCCTATTCTACCGGTCTATCAGAGTATTATTATGTGTGTTACTACGTATGTATTCCTGCGCGCCAGTGGCTTCGAATTCATTTACACTCATGTCCATAAATTAAGGATAATTCGGAGTTACGCGGAACTCGGACTCTAAAATAAATATATCACCTGTAAAATCACTACACATCTTCAAGAATCATATGCGAATTTCAGGAAGTAACCAGATTACACCGATGGTACGTCACAATGACGAGAGTGTAAGAGAGTGATATATAAGCAATACAGGCAAAGAAGTAAAACTGTTCGCAGGCGCTTTATAAGCATTTCAGTGAAATAGCTGAATAGTTATGACACAAAGGACGCATTTGGATGATTTTTTATGTGGTAGAATTATCGGCCGTCTGGAAAGAGGGCGTACCCAACTGGAAGTATCAGACGAACTTGGAATTTCCCAGAGTGTCATCTCCAGGCTTTGGCAACGATTCCAAGATGATGGTAATGTGAGTAGACGTTACAGCACAGATTGCTCCAGAGTTACAACGCCGAATGAGGACCGGTATTTGGCAGTTACTGCCAAAAGAAACAGGCGGAGCACAGCCTCAGACCTGTCTCGTCAGCTCTCTTCAGCCACTGGTACGACAATTTCAAGGCAGACCGTGTACAGACGCTTAGGGCAGATTGGTCTATATGCTCGTAGACCTGTCAGATGCGTTCCACTTACTGCAACTCACTGTCGCCTGCGGTTAGCCTGGAGTAGAGAGCATGCATTGTGTACACCGCAACAGTGGGCTTGTGTCATGTTTTCCGACGAGTTCAGGTTTATCTTGCAGTCTGATTCTCGCCGGACTTTCATATGGAGAGCTCCAGGTACCCGTTACCACCAAAAAAACATCATTGAACGACACCGTTACGGTTGTGCAGGAGTGCTCGTTTGAGGTGGAATTATTCTATGCTCCAGAACTGACCTGCATGTTCAAATTGGAACCATGAGAAGCCAAATCTATCGGGACGTCATTCTGGAACAACATGTAAGTTTGTTTCGGGGTGCCACGGGCGCACAATTTGTGTTTATGGATGACAACGCCCGTCCTAACCGTGCAAACATCGTAAGCGAATGCCTTCAATCGGAGGATATCACCCGTATGGACTGGCCAGCATTCTCACCGGACTTGAATTCAGTAGAGTGCGTGTGGGACATGCTTGGCCGACGAGTTGCAGCCCGTCAACCTCCTCCTATATGTCTAACGGAACTTCGGAGAGCATTGCTTTTTGAGTGGTGTAATATCCCCAAGATCAGATCGATAATTTGATACTCAGCATGCCTAGGCGTTGTACGGACTGTATTGCATCGTCTGGGAGACATACAATGTATTAACAATCATACCAATCATATAATATTGGTTTCTTGTAAATATATATATATATATATATATATATATATATATATATTTTAATTTGCTCCAGGGAGAGAAAGTCGCTATTTTTTAATAATATCAAACATATAGCATCTTTTTTTGCTCTTTACCTTTTGTTTAAAAAATAAGCTTTACAAATAAGCCAAATTTGTTTTGCTTCTAACTCTTCCTTTGCCTGATTTTAAATTATCCTTAATTTGTGGACATGAGTGTATAACGTAATGATTGCTCAAATGTTTGCTACTGTTTTGCTATTTTTTATTGCAATGTTGCACTAAATTTTAATCCACACAGCAATGAATTTATGTTACATCAAAATCTACAAGAACAGTTTTAGAACTAATTCCTAACCAAAAGATACTGGCGGGCAATAAACCAGCTTCATGGGCCGCCTGTTTGAAACCGTTGCACTAGGGTTTAAACTTCACGTACGTAGAGTGCTGCTACGTTAGGGACTGACTGAGTGCGTCTGCGGCAAGGTGACTGATCCAGTTTGCATCACTTAGTACAAAATACTGTTAAAAAGCTTAGAATTAAGAAGGCCTCGGAAGACGATGAAATTGCAAATGTTGCATTAAGAAATCTGCCCCATATTGTAGTTGCCAAATTCACTAACATCGTAAATGTCTGCTTGACCAACTTGTGTTTTCCATATTTATTGAAATGTACAAAAGTAATACTCCTTCCTAAGCCAGACAAGGATGCTACCAAGCCAGGTTGCTACAGACCAATTAGCTTAATTACAGATTTTAAGTAATTTTTTTAAAAATTATTATACACAAAATACAGCTCTATCTTAAACTATTACGAATGGAGCAATTCTGTTTCAGGAAGAAACTGTAAGTTGTTAAGCAGCTAATATGATTTTAATATATAGGTGCAACCTTGCATAAAAAGGGGTGTTGTCTTACGTAATGAGGCAAAATTTTTGACTGCTTCTGGTATGAGGAAACTAATTTGAAAATTAATCCATCTAAACATAGACAGAGAAATAATTCTACTAATCATGTCGTGTATTAATCAAAGAGAAAATTCTTTATAGCACATTGAAAAGAGTACTCAGGTAGTAAATTGATTAAGCTAGATGTCCCGAAAAGGTCAATATTTGGCTGGTTATTATTCTTATTTTTTTTGGGGGGGGGGCTCACCTTTTCCAACAACAGCTTCATCAAAACTTAAAACTTTTACGACAAATTCTTGGGTGCTACGCCGATGATACAGCATTAGCCGTTTAATCTTTTAGGCATAAAGATACAATTTTAATGAACCAGTGCGTTTACACATTAAACCTAAGTTATCTTAGAGTAAATGGTCCTGTAGCGATCATATAAACAATGTCAGAAACAAGGGGGAAAAGTGATAAACTGCTTTTTTTTTTTTTTTTTTTTTTCAGTCATTTTAAGATAGTCAAAGATGAATGACTCAAAAAAAGCGTTTAATGTACTTTGCGAATATATAAATGCGAACGTATCATGGATAACGCATACCCTGCCTGGATTTTTGCCATAGAGATTGAACTTCTAAAACGTTAAAGAAATCGGAATAGATTCTATAGAATCAGCACAAATGCACACTATTACGTCAGAAATCAACTACTGCATGAAGGTTTAATATTGGGTTCCCAGATGAGTAAAACAAAATGAGTAAAAACTTTTACGACAAGGCTATAAATTGCGAACGCTTTAGCATATTTGTTACAGTTAAGTTATACAGTTAAGTTAGATTGAGAGTAATGCATCTAACAGAGAGAACAATACCGCTATAATCCTTCTCTACTAATGGTGCAAAAAATGCAATTTATACTCCTACATTTCTCAGTCTAGGAAATAAGCTAATTCTGTCTCATTATATCAGCAACAATGCCACGCGATTTTTAATGATTTTCGTCTTTGTAATCAAATGGCCGTAAAAGCACAAGTTCCATCCAATATTTCACCTATATTCAATTTTACACTGGTGTGCAAAAATTAAGGACGAAGTCGAAAAATTAGCATATCAGCTGAACGAAGAGGCAGAGCGGACAGAAAGACCAATGAGGATATTAAGTAAGGTGATGTACGGTAGCACATGCGGAGATACGCAGGTAGACGTAATGGGGGAGTGTCTGAGTAGTATAAAGCATGTTGTCGGTGTAAGATCAGTATTTCTGGCAAAGAGATTGCACGCCGTATAGCAGTTAAAATCACACCGAGTTGCTGCCTCAGCGAGAAATGGCGATTAATCAATCTGTTAGACGACATCTGGATGCTTTTACCCGAGGTCGAATCATTGGGAAGTTGGAGGAAGGCCGCAGTGTGACAAGTGTGGCTGCAGAGTTCGGAATTGCTCACAGCATCGTTTCACGACTTTGGAGACAATTTCAAACTACAGGAACAGCTATCCGGGGGTTTAGTAGTGGGTCGTCCACGAGGAACCACACCCGCAGATGACCGGTATATTGCTTTACAGGCCAGAAGAAGAAACAGGCGGCAGACAGCGGGAGAAATCGCTAGACACACGACACAGGCGACTAGGACGACCGATATCGCGTTTTACCGTGGCCAGAAGACTGCACGGTGGTGGTCTGTTTGCACGACGCCCTGTACGGTGTGTACCTCTAACGCCTGCCCATCGGAGAAGGAAGCGTTCTCTGTGGTGCCGGGAACACCGGAATTGGAGAACAATGAATGGGGACGAGTACTCTTTACAGATGAGAGCAGATTCAGTCTGAGTAGCGATTCTCATCGCATACTCATCTGGAGAGAGCGGGGAAGCCGCAATCATCCCTCGAACATCATTGAAAGGGACAGGTATGGAGGTGGCGGTGTTCTTGTTTGGGGAGGCATCATGCTTGGTAGTCGTACAGACCTTCACATCTTCGACGCAGGTTCAGTCAACGGGACCCGTTATTGTAAGGAGATTCTTCTTCCATATGTGCGTCTTTTTAGAGGCGCTATGGGTGCTATGGGCGTATGTCAGTTCCTTGTCATGGACGACAATGCACCATGTCATCGCACAGTAGCTGCCGAACAGCTCTTAGAGAGTGAGGATATTGAACGTATGGATTGGCCGGCACGATCTCCGGATCTCAATCCCATCGAGCATGTATGGAATTTTCTAGGCAGACGCTTGGCAGCTCGTACCTTACCACCAGTAACGATTCCGGAGCTTCGATTGGCGCTGCAAGACGAATAGGCAGCAATGCCTCAACAACTCATTGACACCCTCATTCTCAGCATGGGCAGACGCTGTGAAACCTGCCTAGCAGTCAGGGGAGATCATATCCCCTATTAAAGACCGGATGTTTCTTGCTGGACACCCATCACAGGGATGTTTCGGCCTTCAGTCGCATTGCGCTCCATGCTACTTTTTCAATAAAGCTTCTTTTTATCCCTCTGATTTCTCTTTTAGTAAGTGTTGCTTACATTACTCATGTCCTTACGTATTGGGGATCTTACGGTATTAAATGTGTTGATTTGGAAAGCTTTTGTACAAAGTTATATTGA